CTCTCCCAAGTTCCAACATTGTACATGTGGTAGATCTGATGTTCAAAGCCTGGTTTTCTGATTCAAAAATTTGGGACTTAAAATCATTTGGAAAAGTCTTTTTTTATAATATATATTTTTTTAAAGATTTTATTTATTTAATCAGGAGAGACAGAGGGAGAGAGAGAGAGAGAGAAGCAGAGGGAGAAGCAGGCTCCCAAGGAGCAGGGAGCCCGATGCGGGACTCGATCCCAGGACCCTGGGATCATGACATGAGCCGAAGGCAGACGCTTAACCATCTGAGCCACCCAGGCGCCCTGGAAAAGTCTTTTTTTATTTCATCTTTAAAAATCCCCTTCTATTGTCCTATATTGAGTACTACAGTGTGTATTTTCTGTTCTAAATTGCAGGTTTATTCCCTTTGCACATTTTTCTAGAGGGATATTCAATCAGTAAAATGTCTGACATCATAAAAAGCCCACTCTTTTCTTGTTTGGATACACTGTTCTTTTTCTGCTTTGTTAATTATTCTGGGCAGCATGGGCATGTGGCAGGGGCTGGAAGGCTGCCAGAACCGGAGAAGCTTTCTGCTCATCACAGTCTCTCAGGAATCCCCTGAGTTTATTAGATCTCCTTTACCACTCATGTCCATTTCTTTCCTGCGTTTTATGAACCTCCTTTTTGTTTTTTTTAAAGATTGTATTTATTTATCTGACAGAGAGAGACACAGCGAGAGAGGGTGCACAAGCAGGGGGAATGGGAGAGGGAGAAGCAGGCTTCCCACCAAGCAGGGAGCCCGATGCGGGGCTCGAACCAAGGACCCTGGGCTCATGACCTGAGTCAAAGGCAGACGCTTGACGACTGAACCACCCAGGCACCCCAATAACTGACATTTAAGGAAAAACTTTAAAAAAAGAAAAAATAGTATTAAATAAATAAATGAAGCCCATAAAATTGAACACTTTTATGCTTTTTTTTTTCTTTCCTTGTAGACAGCACCACCACATGGAAGCAGACAATGCCACAGGAATTTCAGAGTTTCTTCTTCTGGGATTATCAGGGGAACCAGAATTACAGCCCATCATATTTGGGCTTTTCCTCTGCATGTACCTAATCACTGTGCTGGGGAACCTGCTCATCATCCTGGCCGTCAGCTCAGACTCCCATCTCCACACCCCGATGTACTTCTTCCTCGCCACCCTGTCCATTGCAGACATCTGCTTCACCTCCACCACCATCCCCAAGATGCTGTGGAACATCCAGACTCAGAGCCAAGTCATCACCTATGCCGGCTGCCTCACACAGATGTACTTTTTCTTAATCTTTGGAGACTGTGACGACCTTCTCCTGACTGTGATGGCCTATGACCGCTTCGTGGCCATCTGTCACCCCTTGCACTACACAGTCATCATGAACCCTCGGCTCTGTGGACTTCTGGTTCTGGTGTCCTGGGTCATCAGTGTTCTCAATTCCTTGTTACAGAGTTTAATGGTGTTGCGACTGTCCTTCCGTGCAAAGGTGGAAATCCCCCATTTTTTCTGTGAATTCAATCAAGTAGTTGGGCAGGCCTGTTCTGACACCTTCCTTAATGATATGGTTATGTATTTCGGGATTGTGCTGCTTGGTGGCGCTCCTCTGGCTGGTATTCTTTATTCCTACTCTAAGATTGTTTCCTCCATACGTAGGATATCCTCAGCTCAGGGTAAATATAAAGCATTTTCCACCTGT